ACATTTTAATTTACGTTTAAGATTTTATTTAAAACTTCCTGTATATATTTGTATATGCACATTTAAAATTGTACATACTCATTGCTGTTTGTTGCACTATTTCATTTTAAATTGTACATACTGTATACACTGCGCATATACATTTGTAATTGTTCATATATATCTGCATACTTCTAATTATTAATAGCAACCTGAACATATATATTTATCTATTGTAAATCTCTGATCATAGTTAATACAATCTGTATATAATGTTCATAGTACATCCATCTGTAAATATCACCCATAGTTTTTCCGTAATTAGACTTTATAACTATAGTCCTAAACTGCATTTCGAGACCTAAACTGCATTTTGTTGACTTGTACATGTGTAATGACAATAATGTTGAATGTAATCTAATCTAATATAATCATTATCATAATTAATCATAATCATTTTATAGTTGCTGGTAGGATTGAATGCAAACGTGATCATTATTTATATTTGTTTAGTAGCCTTTTGAATAGTATAATATTGTAAGAATTTATTTATGTTTATATTTATGTTATAATTTCAATTACTATGCTACAAAGTTAACTTGATTGCTGTTGCATTCAGGTTCATGTGTCTAAGTAAAATGATTCTGTACCTTAACGTGGCAGCCCATTTTCAGCTTTTCTGATACATCTTTAGGGCCCTATCATATACCCCACGCAATAAGGCACAAGACATGTTTGACACGATGTGTTGCTATTTTCAGACCAGCGCAACCCTAGATTTCAGGTTTTGCACCACTTTGTTTAAATAATAAATCCATTTGTGCCACTTTGGGGACTCATGGGTGTTCTGGTCTAGAAATAAGGTGTGTTAAGGCGCATTGCTATTTTGAGGAACTAAAATAGACTGCTGAAAGCTGTTCTAAAGTCCAGCACAGAGTGTGTTAGTTGTGCGCCTTAAACGCGCAAACTGCCTAATACACACAGAATGTACAGCAACACACAATAATCTTTTTAAGTGAAAAAAAATTAAAGGATTAAAATGTTACCAAAAGGAGGCTCGTTCTTTATCCTTGCGATGCAGATGGTCTGTATAACTGTTTTCTAGTGAAGCATTTAGTTTTCCACTAACAAAGTCGCCATGTAAATAGCAGTTGCACGATGGTGTGATGCAACTGACTCTTAAAGGGAATGGGAGATGAGCCTCTAATAGGTTTAATGCACAATATGCTCAAAACACACCCATAATTCATTAAGAGAATAAGCACAACAGTATTTTTCCTCCTTAAAATAGCAAAAGTGGATTTGAACACGCCCTTTGTGCCGGAAATTGATACCATATAGCCCTTAGTCTCCCATTTTTTAAAACAACACTTATTATCACACAAATCCAGCAAAAAATGACCATTTCTGTAGCTACCGTTTTATAACAAATACCATGGATACACAATGTTAAATGTAGCAAAACCATGGTTAATTTGTTGTAATAAAGGCTTATAGCCATGTGCTTTTTATATTGGTTTAATCTGTTGTAAAACTATGGTAAATGTTTATAAGGAGTGATCTAAAAATGATGTAAACTACAATCATTTCTCTTAATAGATGAAGTGGAGGAGGATGAGGGAACGACGCAGAGGAAAAAGAGTAAAGTGGCCAATTTCCTCAAAGCTGTCAGAAGACTCTTCAGGATCTCCTGCTTTGGTCAGACTGAGGAGCAGCTCTCTGTTTCTGCAGACTCTGATGGTAAATAATCATATTTTTTGCTAGATTTTTTTTTTACCCATTATTAAATAGTATTTTTAATTCCCCTTCACCCAAAATTAACATCACCTTGAGAATGACTGTAAATTGTGCAAATGCAATCATTTCTCTATTGACAGATTACATCCTTAACCCATCTGAGTCTGGCCAGAGTCTGGAAGTTGCTCTTGTCATCATTCATAATGATGAAGCGAGTTGTGTGAATGACAACCTAAAGGTGAGTATAAAGATGTTTTGATGCATGTTCTCCTGATGCTTTTACTAATATATCAAGAGTCTGTTTCAGGATCATTGAGAGGAATGATATCTGCTCACATGTGAACTCACCTGAGTTTGGGTTTGTTCTGCAGGTGGATGAGAAAGATGATGTGAAGACACACAACACAGAGTATGTCAGAAAAGAGGAGGAGTTGGAGGAGATGGGAATGATTGATGAGAAGGACAAAGAGGAAAAGATTAGGAAGAGGAGGAGGAGTAAGAGAAATTGTGAGATGAAGGAGAATAAGGAAGAGGAGGAGGTGGTGAAAGAAGAGATGAAGATAGAGGAGAGTTTGAAAGAAAATGAAGAGGAGGTGGATAAGAATGATAAAGCGATGAAGGTAAATGAGGAGAAGATGAGAGAGGAAGAGGAGGAGGAGGAAAAGAACGAGGAAGAGATGAACATAAAAGAGAGGATACAAGAAAATGAGGAGGATAAGGAAAACATGAAAAAGAGAACGAGGAGGAGGAGGAGAAAAGGAAATAGCGGGATGGATGAGGAGGTATTAGAACGAGGAGATGGTGATGGAGAAGGAGATGAAGATAAAGGAGGGGATGAAAGAAAATAAAGAGAAAGAGAAGGATAAGAATGAAGAGGACATGAAGGAGGAAGAAACAAAGGAGGAGGAAGAAGAGATCGAAAAGACAGAGGAGAAAAATGAGAAGAGAAAGAGAAACAAGAAAAGAAACAGCAGGAAAAGCAGAAGGATGATGAGGAGGAGAAGCAAAAGGAGAAGGATAAGAAGAGCATGAACGGGAAGGAGACGCAATAAAAATGCTTTTAAAAAATTCTGGCCAAAAATATTATTGTGCAAAAATAAAAAAATTAATTAAATAAAATAAAACAGTGGCAACCTAAAAACTACATTCACAACACTATCCTTTTCACCTACAAAACTTAAAGTCCAAAAAAGAAATGTGTTGTTTGCAAAAGGTTTTAGCAAAACACAAAGTTTTACATAAATAAATGTGCAAAATACTTGAACAACACTAACTTGTACATGTTAAAATGTAAGTGCAAAAATTGTGCAAAAACCCTTTTCATTTATTCATTCATTTTACCTTTAGCTTAGTCTCTGATTTATCAAGGTCGCCACAGTGGAATGAACCGCTAACTATTCCAGAATACAGTGGATGCCCTTCCAGCCACAACCCAGTACTGGGAAACCCATACACACTCATTCACACACACTTATACATTATGACTAATTTAGTTTACCCAATTCACCTATAGCGCATGTCTTTGGACTGTGGGGGAAACCGGAAACCCACACGAACATGGGGAGAACATGCAAACTCCACACAGAAATGGCAACTCGACCAGCCGGGACTCGAACCAGCAACCTTCTCGCTGTGAGATGACAGTAAAGGTAAGGCAAGGATACCGATCTCCAATGGGCCCAAGGCAGGGGACCCGAGAGCCACCCATGACTGAAACTGAGACACAGCCAAAACGAGTGCCGCCCCTTCCTACAGAGATGTACCGCACCTTGTTTGTGGGGAACCCGGTGCTTAAATTACTAGTAGATGACCTGATTCCTCCCATCATGGGATTTTTGTTCAGTTTTTTCCGCACAAAGTGTTCATTCCAATAACTCAAGAATATTCTGGTTATCTGTTTTGAACAACTCTTTTCATTTTGTATCTATTTGCAGAGATATGTGGGATAAAAATATGATTTTGCGAGTAAACTGTACAATTGTACACATTTTCAGTGGTCATAAAACAAATGTGGGTCCAATTGCATATAGTTGATACTTTTATTTTAAGAGGAACGTCTGAACACCATATAATGTTGAAACTAGAGATGTTTCTCATTTCCCCCATGTAATTCAGCAAATTTTGGAAACTTTGTTTGGGCCAAAAAGTTAGTGTGCAAAGAGATTGTGCAAAGAGAAATGTGAGAAAAAACCTGCAAACACCAACTTTGCTTGGGACAATAAGTTAGTGTACACACACACACACACACAAAAGTGTGTGTTGTGCAAAGAGAAAATTACAAAAAGCTCCACAACACTTCGTTTGAGCCAAGGAGTTATTGTGCAGCTATGCACACAAACAAAAAGGTAAGTGTTGGGAAAGACAAATGCGCAAAAACCACAACATTAACTTTGTTGGGGTCAAAAAGAAAAAAACGTAAGCATTGTCATCAACGTCATCATCATCATCATTCCATTCATCTTTTATTCTCATGCTTTCTCCTTTTTATCTTAATAGAGGTTAAATGGTTGTGTATTTGTTAATATTCACCTACTTTACAAACTTTGAAAAAAATGAAGACTACAATTGTTTTGACTACTGTGTTTTATTTTTCAAACCACCTGTCACAATACTTAGACAGAAAGGATCCAATTGCAAGTACTTTAATGAAAAATAAATGAATGTATCAAAGAATACAACTGGATGTTTGGGGAAAAAAACTCATACACTCTCACATGCACACACATACACTCTGGCCAGTTTAGTTTATTTAATTCAACTATAGCACATCCTTCAACTGTGGGGGAAACCGGAGCACCCGAAGGAATCCCATGCCAACACAGGGAGAGCATGCAAACTCCACACAGAAATGTCAACTGATCAAATACCAGTGAGGAAATGATGCCAAGGTATCCAAAATCCTGCTGTGGCAGCCATGGAGGATCGGAGAGCATGAGACTGATTCCTGAAAGACAGTAATGACAGATCAGTCTCCGCATTGATCCCATGGACCAGCCTCATAAAGACTGCATCCAGATACTGTTGAGGCCTGAACACACGCTGGTGACCTACTCCCACCTGCAGCTTCTCCACGAATCACAATGGACGTTCAGCGTTCTCAAGCTTCCGGTGCCTAGACTGCAGCTTTGCACAAGAAGTTTGGCCAGAGGAAAAATGGTTGTGCCCAACTGAGGCTTTTCTCTCCTGGGTTTTTTTTTTTCCTTCACTTTCATCAACTGGTGAAGTTTTGTTCCTTGCCACTGTCGCCACTGGCTTGCTTGGTTTGGGACTTGTGAAGCTGTGCATCAATGGATTTTCTGTTTCAGCTGTGAATATTTAACCATGCTGAACTGAACTAAACTGAACTTCAACTCTGAAACTGGACTGACAGTTTCAATTTACTAGAACTTTTATGTTAAGCTGCTTTGAAACAATTTACATTGTAAAAGTGGTATAGAAATAAAGATGAATTGAATTGAAAAACATAATGAATACTGCGGCAATTTGAGTTAAGTTTAATAATTATTGTACATAGGCTCTTTCTGTACTGCAATTGTGTTGCTATTTTTTTTACATGCTAACTACTTTTGTACAAACGGATGGATAGCGACTGGATGGCTTTCCTGATGTAACGTTAGCCTAAATAGTATGTGACATTTCAAACTTTAATTTCTTTTATAGTCTTTCTTAACTTTAAATGGTAATTCGTGTGTTTATTTATTTTAATAATTAATTACTTTTAGGAAAAGATAAATATTAAAGCTCATAGACTCACGCACAAATGTATTGAGCAGCGGCCTCTGCTGACAAGATTTGTTCAAACGCTCCAAGTATATCCGCCCGGAAGTGACGCATGCACTGATTGTCAATCGAGTCCGCTTAGAACCTCAATGGATGGTTTGCGTTGAATGCCTGACCAAAAGCTATTTGGTGCTTTTTATAGTAGCAAGGAGATAAACACCGTCATGGGACTCAGGTGTTTATTCGGCTGTGACAGCACTCGGTCTTTGTTCCGTTTCCCAACTTTAGCTTGGTTAAGAGTGAAATGGCTGGAGTTCACGCACTTTGAGGAAAGCGCTATTAATGCAAGCTCGCGTCTGTGTCATCGACACTTTTCTAAGTATTGTTTTACCAACTTTGAAATGGTGGCTGCGGGATTTGCCGTCAACCTCCAGCTGTCAGCCACAGCAGTTCCTACTATTTACACTGTAGGAGCATCATCGTCTCCCTCACGAGTGAGTATTTTTAGAAAATTAAGTTAAACGTGTTTTTTATTTACATATAAAATGTATTTTTTATTAACATGACACTGACTTAATGACTTAGCCAGCGACTAAAGATGTTGGCTGTCAGTGCGACCCCTCGCGAAGCAGTTTTGGCACTCAAGTCAGACAGGCTATGAAGCTCAGGAGGAGTAAAGGTATGAAAGATACAACGTCAGATATCAATTTAACTGTAGTGTTGACCTTGTTTAACCCTTGTGTGTTGTTGGGATGTTTTCATCCACTCTGGAGAGATCTTGAGGCTTAATTTGACCACAAAGTTTGTTTGGGCAAATAGAATGATTTTGGTGACAAATTCCTGGCAGTCAGGAATACTGTAAAGCAGTAGTCTGTGATAATTGAGAGAGACAAGAGTTAGTAGTTGTTTCATGGTCCTCTTTCTTGTCTTTTATTACACATATGTTAGAGTCAGTAAGACAGTTTGAGTCACAGCTACTTGAGTTAACTGTTTAAGTTAAATCTTGCATCACGATAAACAAACACATAAAATAAAACGGCTTGGCGATTTAGCCTACAAACAAAATCTCGATTAATTAAACATTTCAACTCGATTACAATTAATGAACGATTATTTTATGTATTTAATTTTGCACTCATAGTTCACTGACAGGTTTTGTACAGTAAATATGTTCACAAACTACAAGTGAGAGATTTTTGAATGGGTGCATTACTGGATTTTAAAATAATTAAAGGAAACACAAACTATCTACCATCTATGATTTATATATTGAAAATCACCGTTGAACAACTGAAATGAAAGCAAACGGTGCCTAAATTACTTTTGGAAACAAAATAAATTATTTTCAATGTGTTAAAAGTAGAAAACAAGCAGTATCTTTTTTTAAATAAAATAACTCTTGTATATCCTGTAAATATTTTAAACAGTGCATTTCTTGCATCTTCTGTAAACAAATATTTTAATGTAAATAATAATTTTAATGTAATGGAAAATATGCCATCTTGATGCATCTCTGGCACAGCTTTCATTTATCATCAATGTTGTGCAAAGTAGGACTAAAAAATAGGTCCATACTTGACCTGAGATCAGATGTGGATGCAAAGTGACTGCAGATCAGCCTCAGCCTTTAACAGATAGGGGTCACGTAAATCCACACGCGGTAGGGAAAATAATTGAAATAAATCGTACTGAAAAAATTAAATGCATTATAGGTTCTGAATGTCGATTTCAAATACTTTTCAATTAATCGCCCAGCCCTACATAAAACCGTAACCCTTTGTACGAAAATGCTATAATCTTTATCACAAACTAGCTGAATTTATATTATTATCTGGAAGACAATTCAGTTAAGTATAAATGGTAAGTGATGCATACAGAACACCCTGAATACATGAAATCAAATCACACTTGAATACATAACCATCTTCTATATGAAAAAGACATCTAAAATTATCAATAGAATATTCATTCATTCATTCATTAATTTTCCCCTTGGCTTAGTCTCCTCACCAATCCGGGGTCGCCACAGCAGAACGAACCGCTAACTTATTCGGCATGTTTTTTTTTTTTTTTTTTTTTTTTTTTTTTTATGCAGCAGATGCCCTCCCAGCCACAACCCATCTCTGGGAAACATCCACACACACTCATTCACACACATATACACTACGGACAATTTAGCTTACCCAATTCACCTGTACCGCATGTCTTTGGACTGTGGGGGAAACCAGAGCACCCGAAGGAAACCCATGCGAACGCAGGGAGAACATGCAAACTCCACACAGAAAGCCAACTGGCCCAGCCGAGGCTCCAACCAGCGACCTTCTTGCTTTGAGGCGACAGCACTACCTACTGCACCACTGCGTTGCCATAGAATAATCAGTTAAAACTAATTATTTATACATTAAAGCGTGTGTATTAGAGTTTTATATGACATTTTAGTTAATTTAGCTAACCTTAATAATAACTGAGAGAGACCAGAGTTTGTGGTTGTTTCAACTCTCTCAACTGCCACTCAGAATTTAGAAGACATAGCATATAAATAGAAATAAACAAGTAAATGTCAAATATATAAAAAATAATTTACTTTGTGACCCAAACTATATGTGGGATGGTCACAACAAAATCATTTGGACTTTTGCAAAAAATCAACAATACACTCTGGGACTACCCAGTTATGTTCGTGGCTGTTTTTACCCCATTGACTTTCATTAGTCATGAAACCATACACGCTTAAATTCTCAATTGTTGGTGGTTGGTTTTCCCTGTTTAGGAGAGGTCAAATTTGTCATTTGTACTGCTGATCATCAGTTACAGTGCAAAGAATGAGATGTTTGAGAAAACAAAATAATAAACTCCGCTCTCATAGCATAGTAAGTGTATTTATGCAAGCACACTATAATCTGCTGTTTTACTCCATAGAACTTCATATAAAAGCCAGAAACGTTTTGCACAGGCCTATCTAAAGGGTTAATGGTGCTAACTGATGATCAACACTAAAATGACACATTTTACCTTTTTTCACCGACATGGAAAACCATCAACAATCAAAATTGGCTGATTATATGGCGTTGCAATCAAACACCCATGAACATAATGGAAAGGTAGTCAATTTGAACAGAACATAAGGATTAAAAAGGAACATTGTTACAAGTTATCTAAATGTAAAACATAGCCTAAGCCCTGTCAGGCCACATGTGTTACATTTAGATAACTTGTAACCATGGTTTTGTTTTGATAAAATAATAATAAATACATGGTTTTTGTAGTTAAATCATGGTAACCTTAATTTACTGGTTGTGTTTGCTACACAGTGATTTTTACCATGGTATTTCTTGTAAAACTGTGATTGATTGCAATCATATGGCTGAATGGGAGTACTACACTTTACTATGATAATACCATCTTAAAGTGATGTGAAATTAGTTTACTTCAGTATTTATTTTTGTTTCTTTATTATAGCAATTCAGGTGAATCCTGTGGCCAAAAGAGAGTCTACTATGAGCGATGTCTGTGGCAAAATCTTTGATTCATCAGTTTGTACATCAATGCCAATTAAGCGACAGAGACGGAAAGACATTAGTTTTAGCCCCTTTTCATCTCCAGCCAGCTCAAGTTCCACACAGCCAGATTCAACCTTTCTGCCAGATGACACTGGAAAGACTACTATGTTGCATTCTGACAGGTGTGTAAAATTGTTCATAATTATAAATAAAAAAGCAAACAGTTTATATTAAATTGACACTTGTGTTCTGAAGCCCCTATCCTTAGTAAAAAAATGTTTTTGTGTTTGAAGACAGCTTGCTCCAGTTGTTTAAAACTGGTACTGTGTGTACACATGAATGCAGACTGGAGAAATATGGTAGAGGAACCTTCCAGCAAGTGATAATTGAATTTCTTGAGTTTTTCTTAAGTTATTCATCAGTCAGTGTTGACAATTTTTGATTTACATTTTGAAAATATGTTAACTGCACTGCACTGACTTTTGAGCCATGTGGCTTGATTCTGACTTGATTTATTTTTTATGAAAAAACTTATAAAAAGATACCTGTACTTTGTTCAAATATAATTTGTTAAATTTAAAAAAAAAATAATTTTTAACATCAATGTTGTGCTCAATGTTATTCTATATTTTTTGTTTATTTTTTAGATTGACAGACATCAGCACCTCCAAATCCTGATTCTGTTTCAGCACTGGTCAGTTCTCAATACAGTCTTGAAAAATGCTGAAAGTATGTTCAGCCGAGAATAGGACACAGAAGAGAAGAGAAACAGTCTACACTTCAGCTTTTATAAACAATTTGATTTCACTTTGAGGGTGCGCTCACACTATGCTATCTGAACCGTACCCAGTCGCATTTCCCAGTTCATTTGACAAGTGTGAGGGCTTCGAATCGGGTGCAGACGTGGTTCAGTTGGTCAGCACTGGCCCGGTAGGAAGAGGTATGCCAGAGCGTGGTTCGGTTGGACTTGGAGTGTGGGACGCTTGTAGTGTGAGTGCAAAGCACCCCTGAGCCTGAAACTGAAGATCTGGGGCCTGTTTCAGTAAGGAGGTTCAAACAACTCAGAGTTTAAACTTGAACTCTGAGTTGATTTACCGAGAGATTAAAAACTCAGAGTTTCGGTTTCAGAACAGCTGATCTGAGTTGGGTCAATCAACTTCGAGTAGACCAACTCAGAGTTAAGCGCGCACACCATGACTTTAAAAAGGCATTATCAATGGAGCGCAGACATTACGAGTGACTATGGCAATATCTTATAAAAGAGATCACCATTTCTTTTTCCAGCTGAACTTGATGTTCTCATGCAAAGTTATAGCAAATATGAGTGTATATATTTGAAAAGAAGCAACCATCAGTGAAGAAGAGACAGTTAGCGTGGGAAAACAGCTGCTCAAGATAATGCCTAATTTCACTTTTTAAGTATTTAAATATTTAAGTATAATAAAATAAGTAATGTAATGTGTGACGTTTATATTTTTTTTCTAAACTTTTTTTATACATTTATTAGTTTTAAATGATTTAACAGTGCACTTGTGTGTCTGCCTTTTTTATTGATCAAGTGATAGAGGTTAATATAACATTTAGAAGGTAAGCAGTACTAAAAATAATTTTTAGAAAGAATAATAATCCCATTAATCTAGTTACATGCATGTCGAAGGTGAATTTAATTTAATTATTTATTAAAAACGGATAAGCCATTCTCGTACAGTTCTTCTGTGTGTGACTAAAATGTAGGCAATAGCTATGTTTCCATCCAAATATATTACATAAATGTATGTGCAAAACTGGAATATTGCATAGAAGATGCGAATAAAATTCCATCCAACGAGTCAAAGAGAAAAAAATCGTCACTTCCTGATTAAACTGGCACCAAATATCAACAGTAAAAACAGAATTTACTGTGGTAGAAGAAGCTGCGTCAATTAATTCTTTATTTAGCCTAATTAATGTACTTGCGCCTCGATGTCAGAAGACAATGCTGAAACACAATGAACACGTGGGGGCGTCTGAAGCCATGAGACACGGAGACTCTTGACACGCACTAGACGTTCGGAGATAATTAATAATATACACTAATACTGAAACAGTTAAGGCATTTTAGAATGACTAAAACAATATTTAAGACGTGTTACAGTGTGCTCAGCCTGCTGGTTTGTTCATTTACACACATTTTCATTATCATATGATCATGATCTTTTTTTTAAATGTACATACTGTAATTTGTTCAGTAAAAGTGTTTCCATCGTAGTATATGCGCACATTTTCTATCGAATAAAAGTTTATCCTACTCAGTTATGCGCGTGTTTTTTATGCATATTTTTAAAAGTTATGTGCTTCATGACGTTTCTATCAATCTTTTTTATGCACGTATCCAAAATGAGCATTAAAATAGGTGGGTGGAAACGTAAGACTAAGGTGAGAAATACCGCTTCATCTTTAAAAAAGGGGAGGAGACCGACAGAAACTCAGAGTTTAGAGAACAAAACCTGCTCCGGACCAGGTTAGATTCACAGAGTAAGTTACCACAGTAACTGACTCTGAGTTAAAGTTACCTCTCTTTCAGAAACAGGCTTGACTTACCCTGCTTTCTCGAGTTTAACAAACCTGCCATTTTGAAACGGAAAACCCAGAGTTTCTCTCATTTCAGGGTTAAAATACTCTGAGTTTTCACTTAACCTCCTTTCTGAAACAGGCCCCTGATGTGACTTTTAAGGGACTGTTTCATATGGATTTATTAATAATTCTTACTCTTTAATGAACACAAACTGTTGTAGTTTATTAAAGGCGTAAACCCCTCCCTGCACGACAGCTGCACCTTCAGCAAGCCTCCAAATATGTGCAGCAAAAGGACTTTATGAACATTTGAGTGTCAAAAGTTGTGGATCTGTTCGGCTAAATACTTAACTGAATGTCACTGCATCCCAAACGACTAAAACAATAAAGCGAAAGCAATCTCCACTGTGCTGAGCGAGAGCACTTGTCTTGTTGTTAAACTGAACAGTTGCATCAACAAGCGTGTTCAGGCTCGGAAGGTAAAGATGCAGTGAGTGCAGGCCATCAGGGGAGAGGGGACAACTGTGCTTCGGCACAGTTCAAAGCAACCGTGCTTTGAAAAGAATCATCTAAAAGCTCAACTTTGGGGACAAAAGTGGCAATATAAAAACAAGAGTGGCATTTGAAATGAGACCAGTCTGTTGACAAAAAATGAAATGTTGCCATTTTAAAGGTGGGCATACGTTTGTCCTCATGGCCGCAATTGTGTTTAAATCTATAAAAAATCAATTTAAGACAAAATAATCTATAATGAACAAAACACACACAAATAAAAAATGTACAATGATGTCCCAATGAATGCACAAGGTTTTGACTTAATTATAGTAAATAAATACAACGATCAACATTTCAAAACTGTTTTTTTTTCTCCTTTAAATGCTAAATATGTCCAAGTATTTTATGTACATCACTTAATGATAGGGCTGCGCAATATTAATGTAACATTGCAATATTTTTATTCTGTGATATGAATATAATTTAACAAGATGTGCTGAAGACTTTATTATTTTATATTGACTGAGATGATTCTGTAGGATTGTGCATATGCTAGGCTATTGCAGATGATCAGATTGCGATATCGATGCTGAAACGATATGTTGACCAGCACTTCTGTATGATAATCTACAAGTTTCAAAGCTGAGCTTTTCGACGTTCCTCGTTAGTAAGTGACCCGAGGAATCACTTAAAATCCACACAAACACAAGAGAATGATTTGTTTACTTTTATTTAAAAACTTACTGTCTCCAGACAGATACAAATCAGAAACATTACAGTGGATAACAGAGGACAGGGAAACGGTTATGTATGAGTTTATATCTCTGAACAGGGAAAAAGTGATAATATGTTTTAAAATGTTAACAGAAAAAAAAAGCACTAGAAAAATTAAGCTTTACGTTTAAATGCATGTATATTTACACAATCTATTCAGCAGTTTAATTCATGTAGTGGTGAGGAACAGAAGACAGTTCAAGCCGAAGGGCATTTACTTTCAGAAGCTCAAAATCTGCCTGCACACCGTCTTTTTAAATAATTACACTCATGCCGTTCCAGAAATGCACCGTTCCTTTTCTGATGCGAAAGGAATCCAATGTACCTCACATAAAAGTTTCAACATGGAAGATTTATGTTCTTCTTTTCCTTTTTAAAACAAGGATGTTTTAAGGCCAAGGCATGGAATGATTAAAAAGTATACCCCAGACAAAATAAAAATGCACGTCTGCAATATAAGTTAATGTATTAGTTAAGCTTCGGAGAGCTGCCCAATGCGATGCTGTAACATTTAGGATCTCACAGGATGTTACTATGTTACAATTCAAATATCTCATATTGGGGAAAAATAAACAAACTTAGAGCTGAATAAAATAGTTCTGTCCGTGAATTGCAACCAAACTAAATTTACAATCAGGAAAATAAAAATAAAAGGTGAAAACCTACAAACCTCTTATGACTGACAAAAAAAATAAAATAATCCAAAACAACACACACACACACACACACACACACACACACAAAAAGAAGAAAAATATATAAAACATCTCAAAACTTGCTGCATGGCTACACACTTTCATGTTTAGACATGTTCTTATACATCTCAAAACCTTGAACTCTAAGTTGGAGTTTTTAAAAACAAGGAGAACAAAAAAAAAAAAAGACCCTAAAAGCACAATTATAAAATCAGCACCAATTTATATATTTATATATAACTTTATTTAAATGTAGATGTCTACATAGCTCTAATCAGGGAGACGAAAATCTCCACCAGACATACTACATACACTAAGTTCTGTTTTATTAGAGACAACACAATGGCACTACTGGAGAGATTTCCTCTTTTTTGCTTGATCTTATGTTTTAGAGGGACGCGTGAGCAGATCTGATCTTTGGATAGCAATAATAGTCTCCGCAGACTGGCTGGGACACAGATTTAGAGCAGTTGGCACATAAAAACAGCCCAGCAAGCATTCGTTTGACTGAAATAAGGCTAAATATGGGCTGTCAGTGAACATCTAATAGACCTATAAAGAACATCCCCAAAATAGACTCATCGCCTGAAGCCTGTTTAATCTGCATATTTGATGATTAGTCTAATTTTGGGCTATTTTTAGACATTTATTATATTTTCACTGATCATTAGCCTCGTTTCAGTAAAGACATCCATTTTAGACGTCTAATAGATAAACGTAAAATTGCTTGCTGACTGTTTTTAGTGAATGAATATATTCAGCGATCACTGAAATGGCCTCAAACTGCACACACATGCACCAAAGGCAGAAAAACAAAATCATCTAAGAGTTTTTTGATTTAGGTTTCGTGTCGTATGTCATGATTTATTTTTAAGAGTGGAAGAAAAGGAAACTAAACACTAGATATAAAGACCTGGAGTTTTTTTTTTTTTTTAAAGTTTTTCTCTCTTTCTCCTCCGTTTCACATATTAGATAAGAAGAATAAAATATATCAATACTCACTATGATGAGCAAAAACCTGCTTATAAATTACTACTTTACACCGGATTACTCACTATTACAAAAGGGCTATACATAACAAAGTTGTCTTTAAGTTAAAAAAAGATGCATTCACCCCCGGTTTCAAGAAATACCACAACTTTTAGAGATCTCACACGTGTTCCTTCAGACATGTTGACGTCCAACTGTGAAATATATATACTTTAATATATATATTTATATATTTGATATCATATACTCATATATTTATATATATGGCTAAGGACAGTCCGAGATTCCAAGGCGCTCAGTATCTACTGCCGCTGTTTTGCACGATCAGGGAAAGCCCACACAATGATTGCAAAGACTTTGAATTGCTCCTTTATCCTTTCTGTGTTTTAGTAAGTGTCAATGGTACGAGCTGATTTGGATGCCAATCACTCCATTGAATTTAATTCTCTTTAGAGAATCAATGTGAATTCACACAAAATGTCTCTTCTCTTCACACTCCTCCAATTCTAACCTTAAAACATGGGCACTCCCAGGACCTACAAGAGAAAATGTTCAAATTCAGTTCAGCGTTTA